TATATTGTGTATGTATATATATATATATATAATATATAGATTTATATATATATATATATTGCAAAATTTATATGTTTATACTGCAAAATGAGTACGCTGAAACCCTTGTCCTAAACTTTGTAATATTTGTTGGACTTCAATATCATTTTGATGATAGAAGATGTAAGCGTCAAATTTTGTTGCCATGTTACAATTTGTTTCTCTAAAAATGGTAATAGATAACACCAGTAAGTTATGCGTATATAATTTTAAATTGTACAATCCATGCTGACATTAATTTAAAACTCACCCTGCGATGAATGCAAAATAATCTGGAATATTGATGGTACGGCCACATGACGAAATTTCCATGTAACTTTGTTTACATATTGTCTAAATAAAAATGTGATTTTGTTCAATTTAATTATTTAATATACACATATATAAGTTATTTAATAACTAACTTTAAGTAACTTTCAATAATTTTTTAAATATGTGATTAATTAATTTACCTGATTGTCTACTTCGCGAGTTACTGTAATTCCAATTTCTAAGCATTCAAATCGCACAGGCACTTGTTTTTCTTCTCCTGACTTTAATAAACGCCAAATAGCTTTCTCAATTTGTTTAACATCTCCCTCTGTACCAACATGTACAGAACCGCAATATTTCACGGAGAATCCACTACTTAATGTTTTACTTCCTAATTTAGAGATCTGACTTTTTTTAGTGGTTTCTTCTACTTGGTCTAATTGTGATATCTGTATTAAGGGCTTCATGCTCTCAATTCCTGAATTTTTTATGAGCTGTACTATTGGTTCATAAAGCTCGCGGGATTTTTTGGTATAATGCTAAAAATACACAGTAATTATTACATCAGCATATACGTTCCTATTAATCATTTAAAATGCAAAATACCTTAATGATATGTAGCATTATCGGTTGTCCACTAGCTTTCTTCATAATTTTACGTAGTTTTCCCTTGCTATCGCCATTGATGACATTCTCGTTTATCTCGTCCAGTACATCTCCAACCTCGACTTTATTCTGATTTACATGATAGCATGTAAATAACACTAAATTTAAAGCATTTATAATTTTAAAAAGTTATATCAGATACTCAGAGATCTTTTTCTTACATCTTCAGCAGCCACCGATTTCTCATTGACATTGACGACTAATGCCTTCTCATTGGTAAAACTGCAATAGCAACGAATAAAATTCATATATCTAATTCCTACTTTCTTTTATCTTAACAAATATTTACCATACAGAGATGCCTAAACTCTTGCAAGGTACCAACTCCAAAGCTACACATTTCGGCATCTGCCAGGTATCATCCAAGAAAGTTGCATTTCTTAAATTCAGTTTAAAATTAAACTTACTGCACTGTAGTAGTACAGACAATAGTATCTCCCGTAAAATGTCATCTCCCAAAATGCTTTTTAAGTTGTAAAACTCGGTAGCTAGAGCTGGTATTCTGGCCTAAAGATATAATTATAAATTTCTAATTAACTAATAGATGTACGTGTTAAAGATTTAAGTGACATTAGTTCATTCGTCTCACCAATATTTCTACTGGCATATGAAGGCATCTTCGCACCAAACATATTCTTATCAGGAGACGAAGTCGTCCAGCAGGTGTATGCACTTTTGCATTTTGTTTCACTTGCTCAACTGCCAAAAGGAACGTATTGTAACCACTAAAAATCACATTGATATTAAATCAGATAATATATAAAATCATGAATAGTAATGAAAGAATAAGAGAATCACTCTACTTGTAATTCTTCCTGGAGACATATTCTAACCAGTGCCATGCATAAGATATCTTGAAATATCCAACACTATCGAAAATAGGCAGTAAATCTTTCTGTAAGCAATTTTCTAAGCATTTACAAAAATGACATAGATTTTCATTTTCATCAGTGATTTCCTTAGCGTGTTCTATCAACTTTCGAGTCCATCCTAAAAGAAGACATGTAAAATTATTCTACAAGCTTATATACATTTATTTTGTTAAGATAAATTTTACATAGTAAAAGAATCAATAAGATTTGCAAGATAACAAAGTAATATGTATTTTCAAAAATGTTAGCAAAAAAGAAAGACATTTTATTTGATTCTTAGAAAATATATTATGAAAATATGACTTGACATTATCAGCATATGATAATGATTCTTGCCATTTATGCTTATACAAATTAAATTGATATAAGATTATAATATTAAAAATTTTTTAATTAATTTAAGAAATGTTTTTAAAAATTAACACATTTCTCATTCATCACACACATATAACATGTCTACATTCTATAAAAAAATCATACTCTATGACACTGTTAATTAAAGCATCATCACATTAGAAGTTAAAATTCAATATCTTTTTCCAAAAGTGAAGTAAGATTGCAATAACTAGAAACTGACATCGCATAGCCTGATAATTTAAAGAAAAATCGTATATTCATGAATCATGATAAGGGAGCCGTAAATCCCCTGGTGTAACGTTTAACGACCCATCTAACCTGACCTGCTCAATCACGAGCGATCACGAGATTACCTTTCAGCTCTTTGATGAGAGGATCCGAGACCGACATGGCACATTCTCCGCGGAATATTGGCGTTAAATCGACCGCGGCGCGTCCATCGGTAGTATGTCGTATGTCTCTCGCGGGAAATTGGTTTTATTGCCGCGACACACGCGTCAGCCGAGCCTCAACAACGGGAACACCTGCATCCTACATTGTGAACGTGCTGGCGACGTATCAACTACGATAGGGATGGTGGTAGTGGTAGCAAAGTCGCGTAACTGGATCGCGCTCACTTGAAATCAAATGTCACTTTAGTAACTTAACACACTTGCGGCTATTTTATTTATTATTAATCCAGTAATAATATAATACGTTACTTAATTTTATCGTGTAAACAATCAATAGGGTGATTTTTGCACTCCAATTAAAAATAATCATTATGTTCTTATAATTATATATTGTCATTATATAATTATAATTATACATTATATTGTTTCTTCTACAATTTATTAATATTTGAGATTACTTTATATAATGGTTTACTCAAAAGAGAGAAATAAAAAAATGGATTCGCGATCAATAAAGAAAATTACTGTGATTTGGCTTGATTTTTCGCAGCTGGAATGTAAAATTCTCCTTATATTCTCGCGCGGGTTAAAGACTGATTATTGTAAACCTATTTTGAACGATCTGCATATAATTTTAGATTTTAAGGATTTATTTGTAATGTGTGTTTTTAATACATTTACAGGGTGTTTGGAAAATAATAAATCTTGCGCAGAATGGACTAAACTGAAAAGAAAAATCCTCTATTATTTTGCAATTTTCGGAATAATTGATAAGATATTAATTGCTAAAAATTGCCGAAAATTGGTCTTCAATAATTTTTTACTCAAATACTATCAACTTCGCAGAAAAATTGTAAGAGACGAAAATTATTTATTTTCTTCTCATAGAACTCTATAAATTTTTTTAGAATTTTTTATTAACTTTTTAGTACTGCATTTTCTCATTTTTACCATCATGAGAAAATACGGTATTAAAAAATTCTAAAAAAATTCTCAGAACTTTATGAGAAGAAAATAAACAATTTTCGTCTGTTGCAGTTTTTCTGTAAAGTTGATAGTATTTGA